CTTATGAAATAGCAAAATCTTCTCACCTAAGACAAAAGAATTTTGGCAGCAAAAGTGTTACAGTGCCATCTACTGCAAAATAGAAGAGTCTGGCTTTTAATTTTCAGTCATAGTGTAGGAAAAAGCAGAAATGTAAATCAGAATCATGTCAGAGTAACAGCTTGCAAGAACCTAACCATACACAAAGGTCAGGTCAGAAAATATTCATCCAGCATGGTCATCAGATTTTTTATTGTTTGGAAGCGTGTGGTTTGAGGGGAACTCTACTAATGGTACAATACTTCGAACAATTTCAGAAATGTAATACATCGACAAGTATAGTAAGGTCATATTATCTATAGCTTTGTATAAATAAGTATAGGACGAGTAAGCAATGTGATGCAGGATTTGCATATTAAAAGAATATAGGATAGGCTGGAAGTGGCACTGATAAAAGTAGTACTTTCTTTGTCTTAAATCATCACAGAACCGTTGACTGCTACGGCAATGAGGTGACTGATGATTTAGGTGATATTAAGTAACATTTTGGAGTTTTTCAAATATATTTTGGCTATCTACAATTTTCCTCTGAAATGACACCAGATAAAGTAATCTTTGATTAGCTACATGATAGTACAATCCTTACTAAATTTTTTTAAATCTTCATATATCTTAAATACATTTTAGACAAATGAATTTTAATGGTCACTGATGTGATTTCTATATTACAGTCTAGATTATGGCTTTTACTACCATATTTTGATGTGCATACGTGCATGCTGTAACAAAGGTATCAATCTATTGATGGCATTTTATGTTCTGAATGTTAATACAGACAGAAAGCTCACAAAGGCAATTCAAACAATTGTCTTACAAGTGGCATTTTTCAAGATATAGTGCATAATCACACTGCTGTAAGACTATTCTGTACAAAGGAGAATGGGGTGCTGGCTGTAGTCAAAAATCAGGGCACAAAAATCCCATTCAGATATGTGTTTTGCCTGGCTAATGTACTTAAAAGAGCATGGTCAGAATCTGACTGCCTAGAGAGAATGAAGATCTTTCTGCCCAACTCCCCATTATTAAAAGAGATTATATGAATGCATGATCATAATTTTTTGTAGGTACACTGTCATTCACAGACACTGGAATTAGTGTCTTAGCACATATTAATCATGACACGGATGATGTAGACTAGTCTACTTTTCTGCTCCTAAAAACATGCTGGTTTGTTTGCTGCAGACATACAAAGGTAACTGGACAGTTCTATCTTCAGGCTGAAAATGTGTTAAAAATGTTCTAGGTTGACCAAGAAATTTGTTATGTATCTGGATATTTATTGCTTTATGTGATTTAAAATAAATACATAAATAAAAAATAAGTTAAGGTCTCAATTTTATCTGGAAGAAAAGTGTTCAGAAGAGAAGAAAAGCTGTGAGTTCACATCATACCCAACAACAGACTCCATCCCTCTTATACATTCATGATAAAAAAATAAATAGTTGCAACAAAATAATTCCTTACTTTGATGTATCAACAGGTTGAGGATTAAAGTTCCCATCTGAATCCATTGAAGACTGTTTTTCCATCATATTGACATAATTTGATTCCATATAGTCTGGAGGCAAGGCTCCTGCAACTGCACTCAAACAAGGCAAAGCCAGTTTGAACAGTTCTTGTTCATACTTCTGTGGAACACACAGAATAGAAAGTGAGGAGTGAATGGAAGCTATCAACATCACTGCTGAAAGTGATATAGCTGTATGTGAAACCAAGCAGCCACAGAATGACTTTGTTACTCAGTGTGAAATTAAATTTTTGTTCTGAAAACAAAGGAAACTGACTGTCTAAAGCATATTATACACGATAGATAAAGCTAGGATCAAGTCTTGCTCTTGCTGAGAAAATTATTGACTTCACTGGGAGCAACACCAGGCATTTTTCAGTTGTCTGGGAAGAGAACATAGCACAGGAATATCCACAGCATTTCTAAATACCTAGATTTGAAATTAAACTCACAAACTTTTAAGCAGATTGGTTAAAAATACTTGCAGAATGAACAATAAATACATACCAAGGTGTATTATTAAACTTTTGTCCAACACAGACTTGATTCAAGGGTGATGAAACTACAACTACTAAGCAAAGGACTATTGTCCTGGTTTCAGCTGGGATAGAGTTGATTTTCTTCACAGTAGCTAGCATAGTGCTGTGTTTTGGATTTAGTACCAGAAGAATGTTGATAACACGCTGGTGTTTTCAGCTGTTGCCAAGTAGTGCTCAGACTACTCAAGGACTTTTTGACCTTCTTCTGCTCGTCCAGGTGCATAACAAGCCGGGAGTACAGCACAGCTAGCACAGCTAACCCAAACTGACCAAAGGGCTATTCCATACCATATAACGTCATGCTTGGGGGGGTTAGTCGTTCGGTCGTTCGGTCGCGGGCAGAGTGGTCACAGCTTGGGCTGTGTGATCGCAGCTTGGGGGGAGTGATCGCTGCTCGGGACGGGCTGGGCATCGGTCAGCGGGTGGTAAGCAATTGCATTGTGCATCACTTGTTTTATATATATTCTGTATATTCTCTTACCATTATTATTAT